CCACTTTGGTTAACCCCACTTATCACGAGTGTTAATTCAAAATTTATTCTTTATATTGGGAACAATTTCAAGTTCTCAGAAGTCATTTTCTTTGTATACAAACATCTGACTCTGTATTTTGTTATTAAATATTGATTATCAGAATGATCGCTGACTGCAGTTCACAAATTGTTCTCCTACTGCTTATTATATTTTAAGTAACTTGGGTGATTCTGGAAAATTTTCCAACTTTTATATGACGGTGTACATCCAGTTTCATACAGCAGTCAAGTATTAGTTTAACACATACATTTAGCAAGTGACATAACACAGTGCTGAAATATTTGAGCGCTTTTATGTCTCAGTAAACTTCATACTGATAGGCTAATAAACAGTCATTCGGGACATTATAACACAAACCTAATAATTTTAAAAAGACGGTTGTACAGAAGAAAATTTTCTTTTCAATGAAGTCATCAACCAGGGTGTACATTCGTGTATATACGTTAGACGGGTGAGAAAGTCCCAGAACCGTTTCCGATCGAGCGTCAAACTAAAAAGATTACAAATAGGGATTGAAATATGTTACTATGTTAAACACAAATAGGATTGAAAGACATAAAGTAGTGTGAACGGTTATTGGCAAATGCAAAGACAACGGAAATAAATTAGAAGTTTGGATAAGAAACATAATGAGATACATACTATTGACAGAAGTAACTGTTTGTCATGGCAAGTCTCTGAGGCATATAGAAGCATTGCTTTGACATGACTGTTCACAAAAAGGACCTGAATGACGAAATAAAACAGATAGAACAAGCGTTGGTGTTAAATAACTATCCTATAAAATTCATTAAGAAGATCAGTAAAGGCCAAAAACAAAATAAAAGTAATTGTGCAACTAGTAGTAATAACATAAATAAGAGAGAATATAAGTCTTCTACTGTTATACCATATAAGGAGGGGACATCTGAGGCCCTACGTAGGATTCTCAATAAAGCAGGAATTAAGGTGGCATTCAAACCCACAAACTCACTCAGAGACAAACTTTGTAGGTTGAAGGACCCGTTGGACCCAATTAAACAAAATAATATAATTTACAAAATACCCTGCAATGACTGTGAAGTCAACTACATAGGTCAAACTTGTAGATCAGGGATAGTCAGAGTATCAGAACATAAGAATTTAGCTAAGGGAAAACTGATTGACCCTGAAAAGATAAGTAATTTGGAAAAAAGCTCAGCTATTGCACTTCACGCATTAACAAACAACCACACAATAGGGTGGGATAGGGTTAAAATTCTAAAAAGTAATATAGGTAGGTGGAAAGAGAGGTTGATTACGGAATCCTTATTCATCGAGTCTACACCCAACACATGCAACAGAAATGACTCAATGCAAATACCAGAAATATGGAAGATATTATTACCGCCGGTCAAATCAGAAGAGGATGATAAATAATCTTAAAATTCTATTTCCATTCAAGCACATCATAACATTCTAACAATTAACTTATTATGACTATAGAAACACTCGTCGTATTTCCCATCTAATTGTAATGGATTAATAACACTCGTACTATTATTTCTGAATGTACATTATCTCATATTGAATTTTATTCCAATATCTAATCGATTCCACACATGTATATAAATGAAGGAAAGAAGTTGTGTGAGTAACTTGATATGATTATGAGCAATAGTTTGTGCTCGAAACGTCATCAGTTAATATAACTGTACAACACTGTGTGATTTATCAAAATAAAATCTTATCCATCATGGAGTTATACTCTACCACATCGCCCAAGTTTTATACTTATATGACTGTTCGAAACTTGAATCGTATTCTTTATTCTGAGTGCAGTAGACTTCTACATTGACTTCAGAGTGATGAACGCTGGTCATGCTTTTATACCCTGCCTTGGACATCTTCATTCTTCGGCGCTTGAATTATTTTGAAAGCTTAACTAATTCCAACTCGACTTCACTGTGATAAAAAGTATGTTAAGATGTGTTTTGTAATCAATAATATTTCATATTGTTTAAGGTTGTGCGCATTTTACAAGAATCCACGAAATGAAACGAGGTCATCTTATGATATTAGATGGTTGGAGGCAATCGGCCAAAGGGAGCTTTGGATCTAGGTTTCGTGCTAGTTGGCACTCATTAATCAGCAATGCGTATCTGCAGCCTTGAAGGAACTCATGTCTCTTCTGAGATTCAAACCCACGTCACCCAGTGAGTGGTGCAGTCAGAGACGTTACCTCTGAGCAATTCGGGCTCGCAATTGACCTTCAGTAGGACTGTATTGGGTATTTTGATTGGACACTAGTTACTAGTGTCCACTAGGTGGCCACATTGCAAACCTTACTGATAGAATTCAGTCTGCACCAAAGAAAGGACTAGACACACCAATCAAAGCTCATCTTATCCTGTAAAAATATCTTCATCCTTTCATTGTTCAAACTAACACAAGGGACGATTTGTGTATACTATTTTAGCAATTGTTCTACAATGTGGGTAAGATTTTATTTTGATAAAATCACACAGTGATGTTAAACAGCAATACACTGACTGATACGACCACGTTTCGAGCACAATTTATTGCCACTCATAATCATATCAGGGTGCTACTCACATGAATTTCTTGCTTCATTTATATACATGAGTAAAAACTGATGATTAGACATTTGAATAAAATCAATAAAAGATAAAGTAACTTGTTAGAATGTTTCAATGTGAATTGGAATAAAATTTTAACATTATTTATTATCCTCTGATTTGACTGGTGGTAATAATATCTTCCATATCTCTGGTATTTGCGTTGAGTCACTTCTATCACATGTGTTGGGTGAAGACTTGATGAACCAGGCAGGATTCAGTAATCAATCTCTCTCTCTCCGCCTACCTATATTACTTTTTAGAATTTTGACTCCTTTCCACCCGCCCTATTGTGTAGTTGTGTGTTAGTGAATGCAGTGCGATTACTGAGCTTTTTTCTAAATTACTTATCTTTGCGGTCGGGGTCAATCACTCTAATCTTAGTTACATTTTATGTTCTGATAATCTCACCTGAAAGATGAGATGAAATAGATAGAAGAAGCGTTGGTGTTAAATAATTATCCTACAAAATTCATTGTGAATATCAAGAAAGGTCAAAAGCAAAATAAAAATAATGGTGGAACTAATAATGATAAAATAAATAAGAAACAATGTAAGGTATCTATAGTTTTATCATATAAGGAGGGGACATCTGAGAACCCACTTAGTAGGATTCTCAATAAAGAAGGGATCAGGGTGGCATTCGAACCTACAAACTCACTCAGAGATAAGCTCTATAGGCTAAAAGACCCAATGAGACAAAATAAGATAATTTACAAAATGCCTTTCCGTCACTGTGAGTTTAGTCAACTACACAGGTCAGTCAAACTAGTAGATCTGGAGTAGTCAGATTGCCTATCAGAACATAAGAATTTAGCTAAGGTTAGAATGATTGACACCAACCGCGAAGATAAGTAATTTAGAAAAAAACTCAGTAATCGCACTGTATGCACTAACACAAAACGACACAATAGGGCGGGTGGAAAGGAGTCAAAATTCTAAAAAGTAATATAGGTAGATGGAGAGAGAGATTGATTACTGAATCCTGCCTGGTTCATCAAGTCTACACCCAACACACGCGATAGAAGTGAACGCAAATACCAGAGATATGGAAGATATTATTACCACCAGTCAAATCAGAGGATAATAAATAATGTAAAAATGTATTCACTTCACATTGAAACATTCTAACAAGTTACTTTATCTTATATTGATTTTATTCAAATGTCTAATCTTCTATAGTTTGGTTTGTGAGGGTTAGTTATGTTTTAACGAGTTGATCACGGATTAATATCAGTTAGAGAACCATTGAAAACAATCCAGGGAGTACTGGAAAGCCAGCTGTTTCATCCTTGTTTGGGAATCATCGTCAGTACGCACGCACTGGGATTTGAAACCAGGCCCTTCCGGTTACAAGGCAAACTCGTATACCATTCAGCCACTGGGACCCATTTCTATGGCCGATGATTCCCAAACTAGGATGAAACAGCTGGCTGTCCAGTACTCCCTGGATTGTTTTCAATGGTTCTCTAACTGATATCAATCCATGATCAACTCGTAAAAAATGACTGGCCCAATTCAGGCAGTTAACCTGGGATTCTAGTGGGAAGCCGTGACCAGTAGGGTACAGCAGGTTGAAGATGAGGCAGTAACTCATCGAAGAAGACATTGCGAAAAGGTCGCGCTATGTCGTGAATTGGCAGAAGTTAGAATTCAAGGACCATTGGATCGGGTCGCAGTGGCTCAATGGTCTACGAGCTCGCAGGCCTTGTAACCAGAAGGTCCTGGGTTCGAATCCCTGTGGGCGCGTACTGATGAAGAGCCCCAAATTAGGACGGGGGAGAAAGCTGTCCAGTACTCCCAGCTGGTTTTCCAGTGGTTCTCTAACTAATGCCAGCTCATGATGAAATCCTCCATGCAATCAAACAAAAAATGTCTAATCATCAATTTTTACTCATGTATATTAATGAAGCAAGAAAGTTGTGTGAGTGGTGCCCACACAGCGCCACAGGCTTTGTGCTTATTTCAACACTGGCTGTTGTATAACATCCAGTGAATTCAAAATAACACACACACACATAAAGATGAAAATTAATTTAGATGGCATAAGTTAGTTACATTATAATAATAAAAAATGTATAAACATTCATTTAGGACAAAACTGTTAAATATTAACAATTCCCTTGAATTATACAACGTATTGAATAAGTTTATATACATGTCAACATATATACACTTCACTGAATTTGTGGACAGAGGACACATACATGAAAAACATTAGAATGCATTCATCAAATTAGTTAGATAGGGGCTAGATATCCATAACTAGTTAGACTGTTATTACTACTATATATATAAGTATGCAATATAAGATGTTTTAATCAATTTTATCATTTTATTTCATAATCTTTATGAGATAATATGAAACCAACTATTTTGTTATTTCTAGTATCCTTTCTCGTAATTTCTGCTCTACAAGTTAAGTGAGTTATTATAGTTTTGATATTTTTCTGTTGTTTTTTTCATACGATGAGTGTTGACAATCTCCATTTTTAATCCTATCTTGATGTTTAAAGTTTACGAAGGAAGCAACGTTGAAAATAGCTCAGGCAGCAGAATGCTTCACTCTGCGCTGGTTACTTGACATGGTAAATATCATCTCTTGGAAAGAGAACGATAATTGTTGAACGAAGAGAGAAACTGTTTAACTTTTGTATCGAACTAGGCTGCTGCTAGACTTTGTTCGGATGACTTATAAATAAAGGGGTAGCAAGCACTACTGGTTCATGTGTGAGTAGATCTCATTCCTACTATGGACACTAGTACTGGCTGCTAAAGAGTCACGAACAAGGACGAAATAACTGTTTATTACCTTCTGATTTTCAATGGTTGTCTAACTGAAGTCAGCCTTTGATCAGTTTGGAAAAAAATTTTTAAAAAAATTCCTGCAAACCAACACTTGAAAATTTATTCAACAGTCAACGGTGTGATTAACTACAGGATGGAGTTGCCTGATGTTCCATTAGGAAGTCATTGCCAGTGGTGTCCATCAGGACACGGCTGTGAAGATAAATATTGGCCGATAACATTGGTTGGCGTTAGAGTGCTATATATAGCAAACTAGAAAGAGTTAGGATTCACGAGCAATAGGATTCCATCCCATTGGCTGAGTGGTCACGAAGCTCTCCTTGTAATCTGGAAGTTCTGGGTTCGATCCCTGGTGATTAGAGTGATTAGTGTGTACCTATGAGGAGTCTCAAGCAAGGACAAAACAGCTGTTCAGCACTCCTTAGTGGCTTTCAGTTGTTGTCTGACTCAGATCACTTAGTGACCAATCTTGTTCCTAACTACTAATAACAATCAGTGAATAGTACATACTACCAAAGGAAACGCGGGTGATTATTATCTAGGAGTTTGTACTCTGCAAACCAAAGATGTGATTCTACATCTGTTTCCCACAAAACAAACAACAGCCTGCCGACCACTAGCAAAAAGTACCCTCAAAATGTTAATCCCGGTAATATCGAGGCATCTATTCAAAAAGACTGATCAACTCAGTTAGATATATCAACGAGAAGTCACAAACTTGAATGAATAACTCTGAATCAAACGCCTTTGCATAGAAGGTGACTTTTAGAGCCCAGTGTCCTTGTGGATAACTCTTTAGCGAACGAAATTGATGAGCGCTAGATTTGGGTTTCATTGGGGGAAGAAGAACGTCCATCCGATAAGTCCAAAATAGGAGAGAACGTGCCTCCTAGACTCTTCTCTTAGCCATTAACAAACAATCGACGTCAGACTGTATTTTTGTTGATTCTGTCACAATTCTGTGCTTTAGTGGCTAGTGGAAAACACTTCTAGTCTTTACAAAATGATTGTATATCCACTCGTTTAGCTTACATTTGACAGTTCATAAAAAACTTATAAACCAACTCTTTCTATATTGGACTTTTTTATTTTAGTATACGAATAATGCTTTTCTTATAGATGAGGGGTAAATTCTGTAAAAGTAACACAAAATGTCATTAGTCAGGAAACATGATCCATACTACTGATTTTACTGGTAAATCCCGTCAACCTGAATTCACACATGACTGTTTAAACTTCTTTTATTTCAGGAATGATAGTATCAAAGAGGAAAAACCGCATAATATCACTGGAAATGTAGAAAAGCTCGACAAGGAGGTTAAGGTAGGCGAAGAGGAGAAGGAAGAGAAGAAAAAGGAGAAAGGAGACAAAAAGGAGAAAGAGGATAAGAAAGGGAAAAAGGGAGAAGATGGCAAAGAAGGAGATGAAGAGGGTGAAGATGCCGAAGGCGATGACGACGATGATGATGACGATGAAGATGAAGAGGAGAAGAAACCAAAACGTGGAATTGTAAGTACCTTTATTTCTCAACAACAAAAAAATCAATTGCCTCACTAAAGAAACCAGTGTATAAGCTTATAAAAAAGACTTTAAAGAAAGGAAGAAAAAAGATTTATAAAACATTGGATAAATACATGATGAAAGAAGACTTGGACCTGAAATTAATGGAAATCGCTAAAATCGGTAAGTACTTACTGTTCACACTGACAAACGTGTTTAACATGTACATTTATTTCATTTTAGTGTGTAAACGCATTGACAAACGTATGGATTATATATCAAAGATTCTTGAAAATGTTTTGGGATATGAAACATCTTGACTTCGCTGATGTGTTTGCTATTGTTTAATTTCCCAACTCTTTTTTGTAGCATTATGAAAAAAATATAACCTAATTAGCTGTTATATTCTCAAATTTTTACTTTTCAGTTTTTAACACAAGTTGTTTGCCAGATCAGTTGGTAATCTCGAACTAAATTATGACCAGTGATGTTGATTACAAAAGACACTGCAATTAATAATTTGAAAACAATTGGCTAATCGGCATATCCATGACTCTTGTTGTCATGGGATGGGTGGAGTTAAATTAGCTATTGATAGAAATCCGTTTGTAACACTTTCCCGCCTCTAAACACTTTAAAAATACTGACAGATTTATTTTTTCAAAAGAATTGATACTGAACAAAGACTACTCCATCATAAATTATTTAAATTAATCCCATCGTGTTAAGAAAATCAAAACAAGATTTTTCTGAACGTTTCGCTGTGTAAGCCACAGCTTCTATAATGAATCAATCTCACTCGGTGCTCAAATTATTCCAGGAAGTTCGTAACACCTACGGTCTGGAAACTTATAAAGAATACTCCTTTCGATAACTTCACCATCAGGCTCTACAGTTATATATACATTATAGTGAATGAATGAATGAATTAGTGTTATGAACAACATTAATGTTTAAATAACATCGAATCAATAATATCAGTAGATTACAGCTCAATAGCACCAACATAAAAATAAACTGAATGTCAGAAAAATTAGGAAAGATAATATTACAAATTCATGAATTTATAGTCTCTACTGAAGGCTGGCCAGGGCAGTAGTAGGGGTTGGACTTGCTTCTTTTGAACACAGAGCACTGGTTTTTTGAGGCGAATTGCAATAGCCTCTGCTGTTTGGAGCATGCGGTGCTTCGATGATTTTGGCAGTTTATTAGGCACCCGGTAGATGATAGAGAAGGATTCTTCCACGCTGGCTTTGTGGCCGGTTTGCACCAGATGTTCCAATATCGAACTGTTAATGGTTTTCACTACACCTTTACTTAGCCATGCTGGGAGATGTTCTCGAGTGAGCACGAAAAATCAAGTTCCTAGAGCAACTGCCGATACAAATCGCTCCACAAGCGCAGTTGAATTGATAGATACAATCTGAAGTGGCTAGTCTAGGTACTTCATCTTTTAGTCGAGGTAGCGCCATCGGTCATGTAGAGAATAATACGTGTAGTTCGCCAGCATTAAAAGTTCTTTGGACTGATTTTCTTAATTTCTTCGTTATTATCTCATTTGGTATATCGCCCATTGGGTCCCATTTTGGCTGATTTCTTTCTAAATAAGCTAGAAAATGGACCTTTGAACAACCTTATCCGCAAGTTCTCATTTTATTGC